TCACCCCTGTGTGTCCACACAAGGTGGCCGACACCTGCCCCGCACGACTCACTGTCTAATTGTGAGTCAGCCAGACTCCGTCAGGGCAGAGCGATCAGCAGGCTGCAGCTTGTCCTGGCAGCGAGGTCTCTGATTAAAAGAGACCTCGCACTTCCTGTCTGCTCCGGCTGTGCTGCGGCCATCAGTGAGCTGCTTGGCGGCGCCTGCTGCTACGGTCCAAAGTCCAGAGTTATAGTAGCTTTGGGGGGGCCTTATTATCGGGGAGATCTTATTTTCAGGGGGATGCCTTATATTTCAGCAAGAGGCAAAACTGTAATTAGGTCTTATTTTCGGGGGATGTCTTACTTTCGGGGAAACATGGTAAGAACAGTCTAAGAAAAAGAAACGAAATAGATTAAAGCAAAAAAGGAAAATAAAGGATACAAAACAAGGGAAGGGGGTTAAAAAAAAAAAAGCCAGGAGAAAACTGAGCAGGACAGGACCCAGAGCGGAGAAAACTTTCGGGCAGGGCACCCAGTATGGCACCCTCTGCCGGCCAAGGAGCTCATGGTGGTCGTGGGGTGCAGGGAGGTTAGGGTTTGGGGTTACCTGGTCCCAGGTAGAGTTCCTGTTGGCCTGTTGTGGCCAACAGACATGAAGAATGCTCCACTACTAAGCATTGTTCTTCAGGTCCTAGGTGATGCGATGGTTGAGCGCTTACCTGCTAATTGAAAGGTTGGCAATTTGACCCCCCCAGCTATTCTCTAGGACAATGCTTCTCAACCTTCCTAATGCCGCGACCCTTTCATAAGTTCCTCACGTGGTGACCCCCAACCATAAAATTATTTTCGTTGCTACTTCATAACTGTAATTTTGCTGCTGTTATAAATTGTAATGTAAAGATCTGATATGCAGGATGTATTTTCATTGTTACAAATTGAACATAATTAAAGCATAGTGATTAATCACAAAAACAATATAATTATATATTGTGAAATATTTATTTCTATCTACAAATAAATGAAATTTTTGTCTTGAAGCATGGTGTAGCATGGGTAACAGTCTTCACGCGGGGTACTCATAGGTGGGTGTATCAGCATGTGGGCAGACCCACCTGGAGACAAATAAAGGAGCAGTGTCTCAGTTCCTAAGACCCCTGGAAATGTGTTTTCCGATGGTCTTAGGCAACCCCTGTGAAAGGGTCATTCAGCTCCCAAAGGGATCGAGAGCCACAGATTGAGAACCGCTGCTCTAAGAGAAACATGTCGCAGTCTGCATCTGTAATGATGAAAACCTTGGAAATCCCATGGAGCAGTTTTATGTCCTACTGATTGCTGAGTCAGAAATGAGTTGACAGCATCGGACTTTGTAGTAAACAGCATAGAGGTGGGCATATCTGACTGCTTCTGCCTTCCCTAGTGCCATGAGGCACAAGGCCGGTCCGACATGCATCATGTCCATTCTTCTTTACCTTTTCTGACACCAACCATGACCGTTCCTCCCACCCACTTTCCATCTATGCTGAGTTCAGTAATTAGTTGCAATGGCCACTCAGAACTCAGTTAAGGGAGTTTATTTGGGGAGATTAGTGTTGTTTTGTTGTTAGCTTCCATTGAATGGGTTAATAGTAACCCCATGTGCAATAGAACCAAACACTGCCCAGTGCTGTGCCATCCTTACAACTATTCTGTTCAAGCCCACTGTTGCAGCCACTGGGTCAACCCATCGTGTTGAGGGCCTTCCTCTTTTTTGCTCCCCTCTACTTTACCAAACATAATGCCTTTCTTCATGGACTGGTCTCTCCTGGTATCTCCAAAGTATGTTAGAAGAAGTCTTGCTATATTTACCTCTCAGGAGCATTCTGGCTGTACATCATTTAAGACAGATTTACCGTATATACTCGAGTATAAGCTGACCCGAATATCAGCCAAGGCACCTAATTTTACCACAAAAACTGCATTAAAAATGTGCTGAAAAACTTGGCTTATACACGAGTAGCTGTGGTATTTGGTTTTTTTGCAATCCATGGTACTTTCGATATTCTTCCCCAGCACTGTAATTCAAGTATACTGAATCTTTTCTGGTCTTCCCTATTCGTTGTCCCACTTTCACATGCATATGAGGTGATTGAAAATACACTGCCTTGTGTCAGATGCATCCTAGTCCTCAAAATAAGCTCCGTGCTTTTCAACACAGAATTGCCCAATGCAATGTGTCATTTGATCTCTTGACTGCTGTTTCCTTGAGCATTGATTATTGCGGACCCAAGCAAGAAAACGTTCATTTACCATGATAGAATGTTAACTGACTGGTCCAGTTGTGAAGATTTGGCTTTTTTTTAAAGCATTTTTATTGGCAGCTAGTCCACAAATCAACACAATCCAGTAGTCCTGTCGTTCAGTCATATCAAGAAAATCGTACAGTCTTTAGCAGATTCTGTCTGTCTTTACATTGAGTTGCAACACCTCTGTAGGCCAGGAAGCCACCCCACCTGTCTCTCTGTCTCTCAGTTCCTTAGTTTCCAGCCACATAAGACGGTACCCCATAGTCTCAGTACTGTCCCTCTAAGTGTGCGTGCCACAGCCTTTGGTATATCTGGTCTCAGCGGCTTCTGCTGCTACTTCTGACAGAGAGTTTGGATGTGCTGTCCCAGACGTCTTCTGATCTCTCTGTCCCAGTAGGCTCTTATATACCGAGGAATGACTTTGGTAGACGTGTGGTCTTTGGCTTTTAGCCGTCTATACTCCTAAGGGGGGGAGAGGGGGGGGAAATGAGTACCTGATGCCAGGGGCTTAAGTGGAGAGCAAATGTTTTGAGAAAGATGAGGGCAATGAATGTACAAATGTGCTTTACACAATTGATATATGTATGGATTGTGATAAAAGTTGTATGAGCCCCTAATAAAATGATTGAAAAAAGAAAAAGCAGAGGCAGGGAAGAGAGGTACCAAGCCAGGTGAAGATCCCCCAGGCCCCTTGAGACAAGGACCTTCCTCCAGAACTGTCGGCCTTCCCCTGGAATTGCGTACCCCGAATTTGGACTTCCAGCCTGCTAAACTTTGAGAAATTAAGTCACCTCCCTCAAAAAAGAAAAAAGAAATGAAGGGTGGTATCTTAAATCACATTCAGAAATAAGTTGAGAACAGTCCATTTTTTGAGTTACAGTAGTCTCAAAAGATATCCCCAAGGAAGCAACTCATGCCCTTAATGCCTCTCATTTTAGCTATCCAATTTCTAAATTTCCCATCCTAGCAGCCCAGAACTCTAGCGCAACAAGCAAGTTCTTTTATCTCTACAATCTTCATTCCATTGGAACTCTGAGCATCTGCAACTATAAGCAAAGTCAAGTCCATGGAAGGCCATCAAGATACAGCATTTTACACTAGTTCACAGGTCAGCATATTCCTCTTCATATGGTCAGCTTCTGGTTATTTCAGCCCGAGCCTTCACCAGGTCAAATGAGAGCCAGTCAGACATCTGGGCCCCTTCTCAAATCTTCATCACCCTTTGTGGCTAAGTCACCTGGCTTGGCACCTCTCTTCCCTGCCTCTGCTTTTTCTTTTTCTTTTTTCAATCATTTTATTAGGGGCTCATACAACTTTTATCACATCCATACATATACCAATTGTGTAAAGCACATTTGTACATCCAAAGGCACACTGACCACACAACTCTTAAACTTCAGACCAGTGAGGCCATCACCTTCTTCTTTCTGGACTAGTTTACAGACAGACCTTGACTAGTTTACAGACTCCAATGGAATGTATCCATCCCATCAGCCCATCTCTTCATTGCTGCCTTTCCCCCCTGCCACTCCACAAGTGGATCCAGGTGGTCAGAGTCTGCTTGCTGATTCCATTGAACTTTCAGACCTAGAAAGGGATTTTTTTTCTGTTGGGCACAGACTTCCAGCCCAGGTGTATCCAAAGGCAAACTGCTCAAAATTCAAAAAGCCAAACTTCTTCCCAAAAGCCAAACTTCTTCATCGAAAGCCTTCCCTTCAAATAAAAATCTCCTGTTCTCTCCTCTTGCTGTATTCCCCCCACCCCCCTCAAGTCTCAGGCATTGTTTGTGATATTCAGTGTTTATAACTGTAATCATTGGGAGGTCTAGGCTCTAGGGGCCTTATTCTTTTATAATGGAACTGGATGTCTTTCCAGAATACTTAAATGTTGGTACATTAAGTAATGTGTGACCAAGTCATAGACTCATCTTTACAAATTTGAAATATGGATGGCGGAAGAGGAAGTAGGGGTTTGGAAGAGGACCTTGAATATAAGTAATATCTTCCCTGGGATGTATATGTGTATACATATGACACTGTAATTAATCTTGGCTTATAGACATTAATTCCATCACATCCTTTCTTTATATTTTTTAAGCACTTGAAGACACTACGCCACCCTTGCTTGCTAAGATTTTTGTCTTGTACTGTGGAAGCAGATGGTATTCATCTTGTCACAGAGCGAGTTCAACCTCTGGAGGTCGTTTTGGAAACACTGTCTTCTGCAGAGGTCTGTGCTGGGATCTATGACATACTGCTGGCCCTTATCTTCCTACATGACAGAGTGAGTAACCTGGGCATAGTCAGCCCACGGGCTTTGATGTAGACCATAGAGAACAATATGTGTGTGCTTGCTTGCTCACTGTGCTGTGGGTAGACATTGTAAATGTCTGTGGTTCTTAGGAAGCATCCTCAGGAAAACAGCACACTGGAAAACCGAAGAAGCACTAGAGACAGATGGATTTTGAACTGACAACTAGTTTTCCATCCCTGGGCTATTATTTATTTCCATTATTTCCATTTAATAAAGTCTGCTTTTAAGTATTGAGTAAGATTTTACTTAAAGTTAGTTGAGACTGGCACTTCTTAATAAAACAGAAGTTTAACATCAGTGCTGCTGAAGAGCAAGCTCTTATTCGTTCTCAAGAACCCTGTCCCATTTTAGATGCTGAGAGAGGCATGACCATATCTTAGGAAGAGGCAGGGTTCATACATGTGTCTTCCCATTCGAGTAGATGAAGTGAACAGAGTGTGCTTAACACTGTGCATGTTCTGCTCTCTGGGGATGCTTGCTATTAAGGGGATCTTGGGGTAGTTCCGAAACTTATATGATCTACTTCCTTTTTTTTTTTTTTAAACATTTTATTAGGGGCTCATACAACTGTTATCCCAATCCATACACACATCAATTGTGTAAAGCGTATTTGTACATCATTTCTCAAAACATTTTCTCTCCATTTAAACCCCCGACATTATTAGGTCCTCATGATCTACTTCCTAATGACTTTGCATCCTGGATCATTAAGGTCCTTGGCAGTTCCATAAGATTGAAAACGCACCAGTGGAGGATTAGAACAACTTGCCTTCCTTGATTCACCATAATGTGTGTGTGTTTCTAGTAAGAGGAGATGCATGTTTTCGTATTTAGGGTCTCTTAAAAGTGCAGTCAGTTCTCAGTATGTGGGTAGTTGTGCTCTGTGTGCACGGAATCAGTGAGAACCAAACCAGCCTCATTCAACCTCAGCTGGGGACGTGCACATCAGACCACTCCAAGCATCTATGGTGGCTACAAACACATCTCAAGTGGTGACTTTCGGGTTATAAATGCATTTGTCAGTGAGCAGGTGAGTAATGATAGTACTGGTATGTTTAAGAGTTCTCTTAACAGTAAAAATTATAAACGCTTGTCTGGATAGGAACATTTTCTTTGTTGGAGAAAGCGCAGACACCTGGGAAAAGGATAGAACAGTACACACAGGACTCTCCCACCTGAGTCTATTCTCTCCACAAGTAATCATGGCTCCAGATAATGTACCTTGTTCCCCTTTTATTTGTCCTCAGATGGAAACATATATAGATGAATGTTTTATATGAAAAATCTGGACTTGATCTTAGTGGGTAGGATGTGAAAGTGCTCCTTCCTCTCCTAGAGTGGTTTCTGGAAAACTTACCCACTTGAACCCTGCTCTCCTGCCCATACTTCCCGAGTGTACTATGTTTATAGTTTGAAAATCGGCTCCGCGGTGGTCTGTGGGCTATTTCTTCTGTCCTTATCATTCCATTTTCCTCTTCTTCAGGCAGAATTTGTTAATGTCCACTGACAAGATTTCAGGTGAAGTGGATCTGGGTTCGTGATAGACTGTAGGTGTGAAAGCATTTAGAGGAGAAAATTAATAAAATAACTTATGGGAGCACCGAGATATTTTTGTCTTTAAGGGCATTGGACAGCAAACTCTATAGACTGTAAAGACCTGTAAATCTATGTTTAATGAAATTTGTATATACTGAGCCTTTTAGAAATGGGGCACTGACTATATCCATGTAGTAATTTTTAATGTATTTATTACCCAGGCTCACCAGGTAGGGGAGATAATAAACACTGCTTTTCTGCTGCATTTCTTCTTTTTACCTAACCTTATAGTGCTTAAGCAGGCTCGTGCAATATGTCATTTCTTCATTTCATCACTACTTTAGTTCGCCACCAGTGGGAAAGCCACCATAAATGCTTCTCGGCATTAGCAGTCTTGGTTGTTGTTGCTACTGTTGAATATCGGCTTCAGAAATGGGAGGGGCAAGCTTCTCCCTGTTCTTTTTTCCCAGGGAAACCTAACACACAACAACATCTGCTTGTCGTCTGTGTTTGTGAGTGAAGATGGGCATTGGAAGCTCGGAGGCATGGAAACCGTGTGTAAGGTTCCTGAGGCCACCCCAGAGGTAAGACAAGCGACAGATCCTGTTACTCAGGGATTGACCCTTTTCCTGAGAGGATGGAGGTCCTGCCTAGGAAACGCCCGTTCTTCTTATCTTTGGATACTTAATTTTATTCTAATGTCCATATTTGTAGCATTGGAGGACTTTATTCCTCATAACAGTGATTAAGACCATTGATTCCTTTATCATCGTTATATAGCTAAGGAGCCTAAGAGTACAGGAGGTAAACGTTTTGTAGCAATACTGTAAGGAGAGGCCCATTCTCTCTATTCTGTAGTGCCCTGCACTTAGTCAAAGTTACTTTTATGTGTGGACTTTGAGGGCACAATGGTCTAGTATTTATCTTCTGCATCTAAACTACCACTGCTGTCATCATCCCAACTTAGAGCAACTTGTAGGACAGACTAGAATTGCTTCCGAGGGTTTCCAAGGCTAAAAATATTTATGAGAACAGAAAGCCTCATCCCTCTCCCAAGGAGCAGCTGGGGGGAATTCATATCCATGCATCTTACTCCGATGAGTGGGCTATGTGCCGCTGCCTGTGCCACTTCTCATGTTGTCCGGAAAAGATCCACACATTTCTCTCCTGGGTTAATGAGTCTTTCTATTTGTTTCTTTAAGTTTTGGGGTTTTTTTAAATCATTTTATTGCGTGCGGGCTCATACAGCTCTTCTCACAATACATACGTGCATCCGTTGTGGCAAGCACGTTTTGCTTCTTTTCACCAGGCACTTCTAGACTCACTTTTCCTTAAAAACAATAGCAGCAATAGAACAACCACAAACTCCCATCATACTTCCTACAGACCAGTGGCTTACTCGCCCTGCCCAGTTTCCCCTATTCTCCAGCCTGGGACATCCATACTTAACTTAGCCTTAGTCTCATTTATACCACAACAACCTCTTTCTCAGTCCAAATGCTCCCTCCACCGTGAAGATGCCACTCTCAGTATTTCTGCTCCTGTTAATTACTTTCTTCTCTAAATTTGCCTTACATCCAATCAGCCTAACATAACTTCTGTGGGGCCGTATTCCACATGCCTTATCTGGGAGGATCAGCTCACACCATCCCATCTCTTCACGTGCAGCTTCCTTTGCTGCATGCAGCCCCACACTATTCGTATCCTGCTGCACGCAGCCCAGCTGTGTCCCAGGCCTCCCTCCCTCTCCTCTTCCTTGAGAGTCTTTCTGCTGCCACCATGTCTGTCTCCCTCTCAGCTTCTAACCTATAAAATCATCTCAGAGAGAACTTCACTATCGTCTCTGGAAGCCGTGTCGCGGCATCCCCCCACCCCACTCCCTCACTCCAACCGCATGGCCCTCCTCTGTGCACAGTGGCACTCAGCAAGTTAGCGACAGTTAGTGCTAAGTCAGATTGATTAGAGGGACAAATCCAGAGACCCTCACATGTATAAGAAAGTAATTATAAATCAAGAAAACATTCCAGCCCAGTCCAGATCAAGTCTATAAATCCAATACTAGTCCAAAAGGCCCTCTTTAGACCGAACGCAGCCGCGTGCAATGATGCAGAATGCAGGAAGATCACACGTTGGTATGTGCAAAGTTGTATGAATTCAATGACGGTGGTCTCAGAGTGGCCTGTCACCAGAGAGAGAGGAAGAGGTTCCCAAGGCCCTCCTTAAAATAAGGCCACACCCACAAGGAGGCACCATCAGGCTGTGACCTGATTGACAGGCGAAAACCGCCCCTACACTTTTACATATCTTCAGGTTGATATGAAATTGTGCAACTGCCACACTCTCTCTGCACAGTGTCACTCAGCAAGTGTTAGTGACATTCTTAGTATACACTGCATGGTGGCATTCAGCAAGTGTTAGTGACATTCTTAGTATACACTGCATGGTG